AATTGATAAATAAATGAAGAAAAGACGTACTAATAAGAAGATTCACCGAAAAATTTCAAACTACATTTTCTTTTGACCAAATTATCGAAATAATTTATACTACTTGTGCTTAATTAAGATAAATGTTTAAATTATTGAAAACTTTCGGTGAAATTTTAATTAATAAACAGCATTTATTCAATCAAATATCAATTTACTATTTCATGGAAATTTATTGGACTTCTAATATTTATTAGTATACAATAATTTCTCACATAATATGTCAAGTGAATATCCACAGTTTTATGAAGAAAGACCTCACAGGGTGTCAGCCGTTTGGGCAGATTGTCAATGAACTTTATTTCAATTTTTTTTTCTATATCAAGAGTTTTATGGGTGTCTTTCGAACTAAAATTAATTTCGTTAAATTATCTTTTTTACTGTTTGTTTATTTTTCTACAACAAGACGAAAGCTCGAAGGAAGCTTTTTGAGACTGATGTGTTATTAATGAAAGCAGAAATTCGACTGCACTGTATTCCACATTGAGCGAAGTTTCGTATTCTAAAATTCCTGTTTTATTTTAATAAATAATTAAAATGAATTCAAACAAATTTAATAGAAAATACTGGGGTCATTCAGTAATATAAAATGTAAAAAAAATTGAAAATTTCAAAAAATATTTTCACGGTTTATAAAAATATATATTGATTGACGCTAAAGGCTTGAGTAATATCTTACGGATGCAGTATTCAGATAGTGAATAGGGATGCTTTGGACAAAGAATTTTTTAAACACAGGGTACGAAACTTATTGTTCGAATAATTGGTCAATATTTTCTGAAAAAATTTAAAGCTTTTTTATACGCTTCTATATAGTAAATATTGAGGAATTAACTTTGTTTATCTTTACAATCGTTTACAATATTCTTACAAATCATGACAATGCAACGTGAAACACAGTAGTAGGTCATTAGGAGCGGTCGGGGTCGAAGCTTTTTTCGTATAATGTGCTGTAAAGCAAAGGTAGTTAAAGTACTGGTCCGCGAGAAAATTTTGCTGGTCCCCAGAAAAATGTGGAATATACTTACTCATCACGTTAAGTTATGTTTTGAGATACATTGAAATTTATATAATTTATAAATAAAACTTTTTTATCACTAATGATATATCTTAACGTCATGTTAATACGACTATATGTTGAGTTTATAATTTACTTTTTCAGTTGTCACAGAAGCCTGAAAACAGTTTTAACTGATTTGATTTTTGCTCTTAAATTATATTCAAAATTGCAAGCTGTTTTATGCTTATTTTTATCTTAAATCTTTACAAAATTATACATATTTCAGTAAAGATTTTAAAGAACTCAGACAGCAATCAAACCATAACTCACATTCTGTTTTAGTATTTTATCTCGAGAGAAATTTAATGTGAACGACAAACAAAGTGATTAACGTAACTTATTATTTCTGTTTGTAAAATAAAGAAACAGGAAAGATAAAATTTGATAAAATTATATTGTTTTCGTCATTTATAAATCTTTATACCTAATTTTGTAAAGTGGTTTGCAGTTATTGTATCTCTTTTGAAGCCAGAAAGGTACTTTCTCTTCTTTAGTAGTTCTAAACGTCAAAATTTATCGGTGAGAAGTTAAATGAGTATTAAAGCAGTATGGACAAAACACATAAATGTATTTGAAGCTTTCTTTAAAATTGATGTTTTGAATAAATTAATTCGTGTGTTTTGTTTCAGACGGAAGAAAATCTTGCAGCAATTCTTCTGACTGAAAATTGGAATGATAGAAAAATAGAATATGATAAACTCGTTTTCAACTTTGATTTGCGAATGACGAGAAGTAAATGCCAAGTTCTGAATTGGTCAGTTGTTGATAAAAAATAACAATTGTTAGGTAAACTTTTTAAAATTATTTAATTGTCTTTAGAATATGCAGTTTAACCCGATGCATCCTGAATTTTTTTTTAAATTTTTTTAATAATACTTTTGATGCGCATTCGTTTATTACAGTTTTTCATTTAACATAATTTAGCATTTTTTGATTTCATCATCGCAGGCAAGGTCAGAAAGCCTAACTTCTATCTTTGTTAAACGGTGGCTGTAATGATTGTTTTTTTACCTGGAGAATAATAATCTTTTTGTATGTCTTTCTCGTTTCCCATTGGACCTTCTACGTTCTGTTTAAACCCGCACAAATACACAGCAATTTTAATTTTGAAATCAAGTTGTTCAGGAAGATCTCGAAAAGCCAAACCCCATCTGTTTCACTAAACTCGTCATTTTTAACAAATCTAGCAGCATGAAAATTTTTTCATAGTTTATTAAAAATTTCCATCAAAAGGGCCCATTTGAATCTAACAGTACATCCCACAACTGATCATTATCTAATTAATTTAAATTTTTGAATGATATTATAATACAATAACTTAAGTATGTAAAAACAAATACAAAAAAATCTCTGAACATACAACAATAAAAAACACTTATTTAAATTCATTCAGAAATATTCGCTTAAAGCGGATAGTGAAAAAGCACTGTCCATAATTTAATGAAATCCACAACGCAATTACGTATTACCCATTCAACTTTTATCTTTACGTAAGCAGAGAAACCAATTGTTTTCTAAATTTTATCAGTAGCAAAGTCATTGCTGGTGAATGTTAGTTTTTTTAAATACATTTTTATTTTTTGAACGTTTATAATACTGTTTGAGCATAGTTCCGGTACAAATGCGTACATGTAAATTTAAAAAACAAAGCTTAGTTTAAATAAAATTATGCTTAATGTGTGTTTTCACAATAATAAAGCACAACACAACTAAAATAACTTATGATAAGTCGTGTTTCTTCGGTAATAAAGAAGACCCTTCCGCACATAATCCGAGATAACTCTGCGTTACGCGCAGCCCGAGTTATCTTGGGCAATTTTTAACATATATTTTATATTATATAACTTATATTATATATTAAGCAAAATTTTAATATATATTTTATTTCAGCAGCGTAAAAACCTAAAAATTTTACGCTTTCTTATTCGCGTAAACTCGCACAATCCTACTGAGTGTTATCATACGATGCTTACACTCTTCCTACTAATAGAGCAGAAAGAGTAAAATAATAATAACTCAGAAATAAGTTTAAAATATGCCATAGTGTTACTCTATTAGTTTGCTGAAAAGCGTTTCTCCAATGCAAAACATATCATATATAGCAGGGGTGGCCAACTTTTGTGTACATAACATCTACTTTTTATCTTAAAAATATGTTGCGATCGACTCGTTGTCGTAGGCGTAGTCTAAATCAGGGATAGGCATCCCGCGGCCCTAGTCGCATAAAATGTGTATAAATATATCAATTTCCTAGCTTAAGAATTATGCAGCAAAAATTCATAAGTTCTTTTCTACAACTTATGTATGTGAATAGTTTTTCCTGCAATGATTTTAGTNTTTTTTGAAAATATACAGTAAGGTTCCATATTACCACCCGATTTTCTCTAAGCCTACTTTCGGACTTTTTGTACAAAAGCCTTCAAAAACCATACTTATAATTACACTAGCGAAAAATCCAATTAGGAACATTTAGTTTACTAGTTACCGGTACTTTTCGCACAAAAACTGTGGGTGTAGTTATGATACCTTGTTTACAATTCACTAAAATGTAATTGGGGTTCCATAATACCACCTTCTCCTCTACCTATTCTAATTTATAATTATATATGAATAAATAATTGTGATTTATCGGCATTTTTCCCTCTTTTATCTTGTATGCGGCCCGCGTCAATTGATAAGTTTTGAGATGCGGCCCTTACACAGAAAAAAATTGCCCATCCCTGGTCTAAGTGGCAAGGGGGAGGTGTGAAATACATACTATGGTTAAATAGATAAGAAAAGCCACAATTTAATTTAAAACACGAAGGAAAGGTACTGTACTTACATTCTAAACAGAAGAAAAATTGAAACTCAACGTGGTCACTTTCGGGAACCATTTCTTCACCCTTTTTCTCTCTACCGTGTCCCAACCTACTCTCTCAGTTTTTTTTTTCGGTTTTACGACCCTTTGTCTACATTTCTTATTCCCGTTTTACAACTGTACGCAAATGGATTGCACATGGACCGACAAAACCGCATCTGAGGGAGAACGAGGAGGTCCGATATCACTACCGTTGCGTTTGCGCGTTACGTTCACGAGTTGCGTTCAGTTACAACTTACAAGTGTAACACATTAAGTCAAGACATCGCGAGCGTCGACCAAAATTGGTTTTGCTATCGACTTGTTGGCCACCCCTGATATATAGGGTGTATCAAAATGACGTTTTAAAAATTTGGGGAATTCTATAGGATAAAATTTTGAACGTTTTGATATAAGGAACCTACAGCCGGAAATGAGATACGTATAAAGTTTCTACAGCACTTTGCACGTTCTACGCGGTCGGAATGCTGCACTGGCATTGCCTCGAGCTTCACCATAACACAAATGCATATTACCAAGTTCTACAAATGTGTAGTTATTCTCCATGACGCCAGAACGTATCCACAGTACGTGAAGAACGAACCTCAGTTAATGTACAGTTGTGTGCTTGTACTGTACAACTGTACATTAACTGAGGTTGACTAGTTGGATGTTTACAGCACAGAGCAGGAAAATGCAAGGGGTGACCGGAAAAACAATAAGCACTAAGTACACAATACCTTGTACACAGGCTCAGTTAGACCACTGTAGTTGTGTATTTACAGTCTTTCATCCACAGCAATAACATGACGTCAATAGACAAAAGAGTAGCTACCAAAGTGAAGGGCAGTCAAGCACTTCCTACCACTGTAGACACTTTAGTTCAAATTTCTGTCTATAGATTCTTTATATCAAAACGTTCAAAATTTTATTCTCTACAATCCCCCAAATTTTTAAAACGTCATTTTGATACACACTGTATATTGTTCTGTGTTTTCAATTATTTTTAAGTTCAGGGACATGCGCAATTAAACGTGTTTCATATAATCAAAACATAACAATCAAGAAATTACATTGTTTCGGAGCATTGTTGTTTTCTGTTTTGCAAAAATTTCAACTTTGAATTAAAATACTCAATTTGATAATTAAATAAAATTAATTAATTAAAATCATAATGGTAAGTGAAATTTTTCATTTCATCAGTATAATACATTTTTAAATTACCGAAGTATTTTATGAAAAATTAACATAAAAACGAAATTTATGAATTTTAATCTTACATCGAAAATAGACTACATATAATCACTTTAACATAATATCATAATACACAACAACAATATATTTTATAGTGTATAAGTTTTATCTAACTTTTTACTAATTATTTATATTTATTCTACGAATTATTTTAAAAGGACAGAGAATATCAATGCCCGACATGCGGAAAGAAATATTTTAATAAATATCGTTTGCAAACACACATCCGAATTCACAAGTGTGAAAGGCCGTTTAAGTGCAATTTGTGTGAAAAAAGCTTTTCGGATAAGAGAAATTTGACAAGGCATATGATGGTACATTCGGATGAAAAGCCATTCAAGTGCAATTATAATGGCTGTAAAAAGAACTTTAAACGAAATAAGGACTTGGAACGACACATGTACGGATCGCATCTTGATGAGATTTTGTCTAAAGTAAATATCACCACGAGTTCCTATGTGTTCATTTTCCTTTTTTATATTTCAATTATGAAAGAGATAAAAATTATAAAATAAACAGACACAATATAAATATACAAGATAAAATAAAACATTAAATGAATATTCCAAACAATACTTGATGCAATTAATTTACACGAACAAATAATAAAATAATAATATACAACTGTAAAAATTGTTATTGTTTCTTCGGCGCTAGAAAATTTTCGTTATTTTTTTATTGGTTTTGACGTTGGTTCAAAAAATTTAAATTGATTAAATTTCTTAGTATTTTCTATGAAAACCCATTCACTGTATTAAACCTTTGCTAATCAATCACTCACAAACATTTATGAAATAGGATAGACGTTATCCATAATAAATTCGTCAGTGTAATTAAAAATCTATGATAAATATGAATAATATAATATTTAAATTACAACAATGTTTAATTATTAAAAGAATTATTTTTCACAGTTATTACCCTTATAACTGATATTCTTATTGATGAAAACAAGACACATCTTCGTAGTGTTATTCTCTAATTTAGTATTTGCATTTTATAAAGTATAAATAACAGAAAAGGTCTTTTTATTGTTCACCGTATTGTTAAGTCAGTTTCAAAATTATAAAATATTATTATCTTTTTACGATTAGATTCAGATTACAGTAGAAAAAAACTTCAAAAAACAGTTGTTCGACTGTGCCTAATTGCTAGTGTCAATAAAAAGATTTAAGCAAATTATTCTGCAGCACCTCGTTAGCTCTATCTTTATAAAGTAATTTTCTATACACATAATTTAATAAAACTTGAACAAAATATTTTACTTTTAATAAAGGTCACCATCACAATAAAATAAATCGTAAAAATTAACGTTTCAGAACTTTCCCAGAAATATTTAATATGAAGAATTTGTATTTGAAAGTTAAGTTATATATTTTTATCTATTGTTAATAATTAACTAAAAATTTATTGAATAATTAGATTCCACCAAACGACCCGAGGATTATAAGACGTAAATGTAATTTTTGCCTAAAAGTTTGTCCAACTCCCTCTGAGTTAACACGTCACTTGAGAACTCACACTGGACAGCGGCCATTTACTTGCAATTTTTGCAACTACACTTTCACTACTAAAGGTAATTTATACAGACACATCAGAAGGATGCATTCGAAAGAAGAAACTCCATCTTGCCCCGAAGTAAGTATATAAATATCTTAATGACTAAAGTTTTAACATATAATCGTCTGTTAGAGAGAAAACATTATAATAATATCTTCACTTATTTAATAAGCACAAATTGTTTCAACTTTCATTTATCACATACTTTCTAAGCACGTGTATATGTTTCATCCGATACTCCGAGAAAATAAGTTTTTTCTTAATTAACAGGAAATTCCCGTATTAAAAATATACAACGATTGTGAATTCTTCGTCTAATATCAGCCATTAATACGTGCACACTAAACACTTTTTGTATAAACTACGAGTCGTACGACAAGCAGCCGAAAAAGAAATGTCATTTTATGTATCCACGATGAGACATTAGAAATAATTCTTTAAATTACAAGTTATCAAATTCAATTCTACTTCAGCAAATCGAAATTTTTATGTATGAAGTTCATTTTCAATCATTACGATTGAATGACAATTTATGGACATCGAATTTCGTTTGTTTTTCTATTGAATAATTATGAAGAAATATACACTCGAATACAAATTCAATTACGTAAGTGTACGAAAATTTACTTTAATGTATGCAAGTTTCTGTTCCGTGGATTTACAGAAATATCTACCGAATAATTAAAAAACGATGACTTCTCTGTTTTCACAGAAATTCACAACTGATGTATCTCCAATGTATTTACATTGTTTTATTTTTTACGCTGTAGGTTTCTGACATAACAGTACTTTACTGAAAAGTATTTATATTTGTTAACCGATTATTCTTATAGTTATTAATTACTCACAATTTGTTAAAATTGTGAACTTTCAAATTTTAGTACATTGTAAAATATTTCATTTTAATTATCTTAAAAACATTGTTAACTCTAATAGATTTACAAATGTATAATACAGTATATAATTATATATTACGTATTTTTTTGCAATTCACATTCTAGAAAATAGTGTACAGTTATGTTGTTTATGTTATTTACTTTCAGAAAAGTACACAAAACGTTCAACGAGAGCAGGATGAATCGTTTGAACAACCATCAGCAAGTTTTCAAAGACCACAGTCAATAGAATTTGAAGAAATTCCATCAGAAGAGAATCTTTTTACCTTGAAAGAATGTGAAGAATTTCTTGAAAATGTTAACGTCGATTTAGAAATTATTAAATTGGAAGGTTCCTCAGAAGTGACATTCTTCCCAGAAATGGACGTAGAAGAAATTCAATTGCAATGTCCGTTCTGTGGTGAACAATTTTTCGACGACGTTTCGCTTGAAGAACACGAAAGAAACTTTCATCCGTCTGACTAATTAATTGTGGAGAACTAAGTTTCAAATTACATTAAAATCATAAGGTACCAATGTGACAAGGTACCAAAGGTGCTACTGTAGATAAATGAAATTTAATTAAATGCAAAAGGAAAAAAAAACATGCACCTAAAATGTCACGATGTTTTCATATTTGAATAAGCAGTAAAAATTACTAAAGTTGTATATTTTATCTCAAAAAAAATTTTTGGTGTTTTTCTACATTTAATTTTAATACTAACCCGAAGCAGATTATTTATAGTTTTCTTATATTTATTATATTGTACTAATATTAATGAAAGAAAAATACATTTTTGAATCATTTTATTATTATTTGTTTACATCCATAAGAAACTTTATTACAACAAAAAAAGGCGAAATTTTTATAATATTTCTGAAAGTTTTAAAGAATATTTTAAAAATTATGGAAAAGAAATGTTTTAACAGTGATACATTCACAATTATCTATCAAACTTAAAAAGTTAATTTGCGAAATAATTGCCTGAAAAAGAAATAAATGTATTGAAATTTAACAAAAACTTTTATCTTTAATTACGTTTAGAAAGATTTTCTGGTATACTGAAATTGTTTTTATGAAATTTAAAAAAAATAAATAATTTGTTATTGTTGAGAGAAGGAAGATTGACCAGAAGATTGGAAATGTCAGAAGCTGACAAGCAGCCTTTTAATTCAGATAAACATTCTTCTGAACGATAATATATTAATAAATAAAGAAAAGACAGTCTAATAAAAAGATTTATTAAAAAGATTTTATATTACATTTTCTTCTTTGGCCAAATTATCAAACTTATTTTTTGTGTCTCAAATTATAAGAAAATTATTTTTATTATTTATGCTTAATATAAATGTTTAAATTGTTATCAATAAACACATTTATTCGATGAAATATGTATTCAGTTATTTATCGACATTTGTTAGACTTAAAATAATTATTATAATTAGTCAATAATTTTTCACATATGTGACCGGAGAATCGGCACCTCTTACATGCCTCATGAGGATAGACACCACCGTGTGTCGATTGATCCGTTAGCCGCGGCGGTTCGGAAATAGGTCACACGAGCGGTCACGTTACTGAGCGATGCGATTCGGAATGGAGTGAGAGAGACAGCGCACCAGAAGTGATTCACGCAGAGGGACCACGTTAACGTAACAACGTTTATTTGTAAAGGACGGTAACATCATTATCTTACAATACATAAATACGAATAGATAAGCCTAATGTTGAGGTTGTGGAGAAAGAGACAGTTCACATAAGGTTGACGTAGCGATAAATATCTGGAGTGGATGTTTTTCTGTTGTAACGTCCTACTGCGAAAATTCGTTTTCGGTGGTAGGTTGGTGAGGATAATGCGATGATAAGAACAGTTCGAAAATAGGTGATATCTTGGGAAAGCGATTTAGCAATATCTTTCAGTAGAAAAAATAATATTCTCATCGTGAAATATGGAAGATCCGTTCCGGGAGTAGGTGCTCTCTTCGCACATAGAATAGGTAAAGTATCCATTAAGGTGATATAGGAAGTCCTAAACTGACTAACACAGTTGAGACACTGGCGACGACTGATTCTTTTTGCAGTCAATTTCGATATCAGTTCGTTATCGCCCGACCAAGAAGTCAGCAGATCACGAAAATGCATCATTATCGTCGTCGGGAAAGTGTAAATAAAGATTTTTTCAGTAGTTGAAAACAACAATTTAATGGCGTCATTGTCGATTAAAAATGGGTTTTTGTTTGTTAAACTTCGGATTATCACACATATGTCAAATTAATATCCTATTTTTCAAAGAAAGATTTCACAGGTGGTTTACACGTTTGGTTCGATTGCTCATGAATTTTATTTCTATATAAATAGTTAAGAGTATTATTTGTGTCTTCGAAATTAAAAAACTAATTTCTTCAAATTATTTTCATCCCTTTTTTTAGTAAATGAACGCTCGAAGAAATCTTCTGGACATTTATGTGATATAAATGAAATGAAAGTAGAGAGACAACTGCACTGTAATGCACATTAACTAAAGTTTTGTATTCTAAAATTCCTGTTATACTTTTAATAAATATGAATATGAATGAAAACAAATTAAGTAGAAAATGTTGGTTTTGTTTAATGAATAATAGAAAATGTAAAAGAAGTTGAGAAATTTAACGAATGATTTCGTGGTTTATAAATAAATATATTGATGGTATTAAGGGCATGCGAAGTTATTTTACAGAAGCGCTTTTCAGATAGTAAATAAGAATGCTTTAGACAAAGAATTTGTTGAACACAAGTTATCAAACTTATTGATAGAATTATTGATCACTATTTTCTAAAAAAAATGTACAGTTTTTATGCACTTTTGTATTATAAATATCGAGAAAAGCACTTCGTTTATTTTTATAATTCAGAAAAACTATTTATTTTAGTACATTGTAAAATATTTCATTTTAATTATCTTAAAAACATTGTTAACTCTAATAGATTTACAAATGTATAATACAGTATATAATTATATATTACGTATTTTTTTGCAATTCACATTCTAGAAAATAGTGTACAGTTATGTTGTTTATGTTATTTACTTTCAGAAAAGTACACAAAACGTTCAACGAGAGCAGGATGAATCGTTTGAACAACCATCAGCAAGTTTTCAAAGACCACAGTCAATAGAATTTGAAGAAATTCCATCAGAAGAGAATCTTTTTACCTTGAAAGAATGTGAAGAATTTCTTGAAAATGTTAACGTCGATTTAGAAATTATTAAATTGGAAGGTTCCTCAGAAGTGACATTCTTCCCAGAAATGGACGTAGAAGAAATTCAATTGCAATGTCCGTTCTGTGGTGAACAATTTTTCGACGACGTTTCGCTTGAAGAACACGAAAGAAACTTTCATCCGTCTGACTAATTAATTGTGGAGAACTAAGTTTCAAATTACATTAAAATCATAAGGTACCAATGTGACAAGGTACCAAAGGTGCTACTGTAGATAAATGAAATTTAATTAAATGCAAAAGGAAAAAAAAACATGCACCTAAAATGTCACGATGTTTTCATATTTGAATAAGCAGTAAAAATTACTAAAGTTGTATATTTTATCTCAAAAAAAATTTTTGGTGTTTTTCTACATTTAATTTTAATACTAACCCGAAGCAGATTATTTATAGTTTTCTTATATTTATTATATTGTACTAATATTAATGAAAGAAAAATACATTTTTGAATCATTTTATTATTATTTGTTTACATCCATAAGAAACTTTATTACAACAAAAAAAGGCGAAATTTTTATAATATTTCTGAAAGTTTTAAAGAATATTTTAAAAATTATGGAAAAGAAATGTTTTAACAGTGATACATTCACAATTATCTATCAAACTTAAAAAGTTAATTTGCGAAATAATTGCCTGAAAAAGAAATAAATGTATTGAAATTTAACAAAAACTTTTATCTTTAATTACGTTTAGAAAGATTTTCTGGTATACTGAAATTGTTTTTATGAAATTTAAAAAAAATAAATAATTTGTTATTGTTGAGAGAAGGAAGATTGACCAGAAGATTGGAAATGTCAGAAGCTGACAAGCAGCCTTTTAATTCAGATAAACATTCTTCTGAACGATAATATATTAATAAATAAAGAAAAGACAGTCTAATAAAAAGATTTATTAAAAAGATTTTATATTACATTTTCTTCTTTGGCCAAATTATCAAACTTATTTTTTGTGTCTCAAATTATAAGAAAATTATTTTTATTATTTATGCTTAATATAAATGTTTAAATTGTTATCAATAAACACATTTATTCGATGAAATATGTATTCAGTTATTTATCGACATTTGTTAGACTTAAAATAATTATTATAATTAGTCAATAATTTTTCACATATGTGACCGGAGAATCGGCACCTCTTACATGCCTCATGAGGATAGACACCACCGTGTGTCGATTGATCCGTTAGCCGCGGCGGTTCGGAAATAGGTCACACGAGCGGTCACGTTACTGAGCGATGCGATTCGGAATGGAGTGAGAGAGACAGCGCACCAGAAGTGATTCACGCAGAGGGACCACGTTAACGTAACAACGTTTATTTGTAAAGGACGGTAACATCATTATCTTACAATACATAAATACGAATAGATAAGCCTAATGTTGAGGTTGTGGAGAAAGAGACAGTTCACATAAGGTTGACGTAGCGATAAATATCTGGAGTGGATGGTGTTCTGTTGTAACGTCCTACGGCGAAAATTCGTTTTCGGTGGTAGGTTGGTGAGGATAATGCGATGATAAGAACAGTTCGAAAATAGGTGATATCTTGGGAAAGCGATTTAGCAATATCTTTCAGTAGAAAAAATAATATTCTCATCGTGAAATATGGAAGATCCGTTCCGGGAGTAGGTGCTCTCTTCGCACATAGAATAGGTAAAGTATCCATTAAGGTGATATAGGAAGTCCTAAACTGACTAACACAGTTGAGACACTGGCGACGACTGATTCTTTTTGCAGTCAATTTCGATATCAGTTCGTTATCGCCCGACCAAGAAGTCAGCAGATCACGAAAATNGAAATTTTATTAGTGAATCTTCTTAGTGATCTGTGTTTTTCATTTATTAATAAATTATTATTTAGAAAACTGTTTATCTGAATGAAAAGGCTGCTTGTCAACTGCTGACATTTCCAATCTTCTGGTCAATCCTCCTTCTCTCAACAATAGCAGTGTGTTGGCGGCTTGTACTTCTTCGTTTTCTCTTTCTTGCGATTCCTGTCAAAAAAGGTATTTTCGTGTAAAAATTAAAAATTTCTATTAGTTATAATTTTTACTTTCCAGTAAATTTTTAAAAATTAAAATATTAATTTGTTTTTAAATTTAAAAGGTACATGAATTTTAAGGAAATAAAAAATTTGCTTAAAATTCATATCCATAAACACAAATATTTTTTAGAAGTTCATAAGAAAAATTTCCGTACAACTGTTATATGTGAGGGACAAACAGAGCCTCAATAAAATGTTGTTTTAAACTTTTATTATTGGGAAATGTAAGTATGTCTATGGAATGTAGCTAGAAAGAAAACGTAAAAGGAAGAAAAAGATAAAAGCAGAAAGATAAAAGAAATGTAGAATGAGAAGAAAACTGAAGAGTGGAAAATTAAATTTTAACCTGTTTTAGATAAAACAGATACAATATCTATACTTGAGGTAAATGTAATCGTTACTTCAAGAAAGAAGACAATGTTAACAACGTTTCTCAGTGCTCACCAACAAAATGATTCTCGTACTATCCGAAACAGAAGACGAACGTAATAACAAATAAATTAAAATCTATTAATGTGAATCATAAGAAATGAATTTTGTCATGTTAGATAAGCTTATTGTAAAAATAAAGAAGTAATACTTTTTCTTCAGATTGTTTGCTTACTCATCGTTAATTTATAGAAGCATTCTTTCGAATGAAATAAAGAAAAACTTATTCATTTCATACATTTGTATTCAGAGTTGGAATTTTCGTTTATATAACAGTAGAATACTTTACGGTTTGTTACCGTACGTTTGCCGTAGATCAAATTATTGAAAAACTAGCAGATGAGCCTGACGTTGCTAGGTAAAAAGTAGTAACAGACAAAAGAATTATTAGATTCTGTTAAAATTTCAAAACCACATTTGACACACAGGAAGTTAGAATGCGTCTTCCCCATACACGGTACGAATATTGTTTACTGTTTGTATAACGTGATATCCTTTACAAAACTTAAAAAGCGTGCATTAGGTGTTTGATGTCTATCTTATCTACAGACATTTCGACTTGATTTTATTCAATCGAAATATGATGTAAAAAAGTTTAAAATAAGCTTAAAAACAAAAAATACAAACTCACTCGGGGATAATGTATTTAGTTTCACAAGTGATAATTATATCACACATTAATGTAATTAAAAACACCTCATAAGAAAAATATGCAAAAACTTTCCATTCAAATCGCAATAAAATTAATCTAATACAATAATACAGTTTTTTTGAATCAACTTCGACTCCGTATGCTGATTGTTTTATTTTTGTTTTATTGATATTATTGTTTTTGTATGTTTGTTATAGTATATTTATATTTTGCTTAGATACTTGTAATAAGTTTATGTTACAGTGTCATGAATAAAATCTAATAATAATAATAATTAAAAAAAATACAAGTAAAAAGATAATTCTGATTGCATTCCTTATTTCGGCAGTGCAAATACTCAAAAATGTAAGGTTTCTTATTCGTGTAAACTCGCACACTCCTATTGTGCATTATCAAACGGTGCTCTTATTGTTATTGCTTATAGTGCAGATAGAGTAAAATAATAATAATTCAAAAATAAGTTAAAAGAAACTGAAATAGCGTTACTCTATTTGTTTCCTCACATGCGTTTCTCAAATACAGAAGACATCATATATATATATATATATATATATCGTTTTGTGTCTTCAATTATTTTTAGGTTAAAGGACATGTGCAATTGTGCAAGCTTAATATAATCAAAACATAACAATCAAGAAATTACATTATTTCGGTGCATTGTTGTTTTCCGTTTTAACAAAATTCCGACTTGAAATTAAGAAGCTAAATTTCATAATTAAATTAAGTAAAATCATAAATGGTAAGTGAAATCTTTCATTTCATATGTATAATTCATTTTGAATTTCTCAAACGGTTTTATTAAAAATTCACGAAATAACAAACTATCAATTTTAATCTTATATCGAAGATAGTGTAAATATTATTAACATTTTCAACATATCATTATAATATATAACAATAATTAATACTATCGTAAATAATTTTAATTTAACTTTTTCACGAATTATATATTGTTATTAAACGAATTGTTTTAAAAGAACCGAAAACATCAATGCCCGAAGTGCGTGAAAAAGTTTTCTTATAAAAGTAATTTGGAAAGACACATTCGAACTCATACGGGCGAAAGGCCGTTTAAATGCAATTTATGCGATAAAACCTTTTCGGATAAGAGCAATTTGGTACAACATATGAAAGTGCATTCGGATGAAAAGCCGTTCAAATGCGAATACAAGGGCTGTGAAGAGCGTTTTAAACGAAAATTCGAGTTAAAACGACACACGTACAGATGGCATCCTGACGAGATTTTATCTAAAGTAAATATTTTCACTAGTTCCAATATTTTTATTTTCGTTTATATTTTTCAATTATCAAAGCGATAATAGTTACAAAATAAACAGACACAATATATTTTCACAAATAATATAATAATATAAAACATTCAACTGTGTTAATTTACACGAACGTATATTAAAATAAAAATANATTTGTTCCGGTCTTGCCCCTGATAGTTATATACGCAATACAGATGGATAAATATGCTATATATAAATGATAAATATATGTATAAATATGTTCATTAACATATTTGCTTAATATGCATAAAAATTAGATTGTTTTTAGAATGTTCTGTAAGTGACCATAAAGTAATGAAGAGTTTTTAATCGAGATTGAAAAACATTAAAAAATTTTCGAAACACAAAGCGTTCATTTATATAAGGCTTATTCATGCATGATAATATAAGTACACATTTTCCGATCACTTTTAGATTCTAATGGTAACTTTAAGAACCTTTTTCGCTTTTAGAACTCTTGAAGAGCATCTTTTATATTCTGAATACGATTCTAACAGATCAACTGATTAATTTCTCAATTATGTAATAAACGATTTTGGGAAAATTTTATAATACATTATAAAATAACAGACTATTAGGCCCCCTCTTTTAAATAAATCCATTAAATAAACGTTTTACTGTATTTGTGAGATTAACTAAGCAAATTTCTTCTAAATTGTCGTATGTAAAATATATAATTATTTCACCCTTTCTACTAAATTGTCAGCAAATCATTTCAAGTATTCGAACATAACATAATTATTAATGAAATAAAAGTCGTTTAATTTCGTTGTCGTACGATCATTTTTATAATTTTTTCTAAAGTAAGTTTTCATACTCTAAATAACAAGAAGAATAACTTTATAATATTTACTTATGAGAATTACATAATTTTAATGATAACAGTTTTTTTCAGTTTAATATAAAAATAATTTAAAACTATTTTTGCTGGATTAATCGTCGTCATTAATATCTTTCACTTTTCAAGAAATTTCAAGAAAAAGTATTTAAACAACAAATTCCTTTGAAGACATTTTCTAATGAAACACCGTCTGCACCAGTAAAGACAAATAATGACAACAACGACGATAAACAATGTCACGCACCCGACAAAGACGATAATCCTGAATCGTCTGTAATAGTATTTCAATGTCATTTGTGTTCCTTCAGCACTCGCTCGAATGAGAAATGGCTAAAACATAAGCAGTGTCATATGGAAGAAATTCCTTCCACTTCAACGGTAATTATTCCATTCATTCTTTAAAAATAAATTGTATTTTTAAGAATTCAGGTTTTAATTAAATAGAATTGTATATTTTGACTTATTCATTAAATTTAACACAGTTTACAATTAAATGACGTATAAAATTCCTGTAACATAACATGTTTTACATTTGTTTACAAAGTTCTGTGAGGTGTTCCTTGTCCGAACACAAAGATCTTTCGCGAAAGTGTTCGCGAAAGATCTTTGTGTTCGGACAAGGAACACCTCACAGAACAAACACAAGAAGAAGCGACGTAAAATAGTAAATACCGATTGGTTTTCCCTTGTCTTCCGGCAGCAATTCGAATTTTTCGAGCGCGGGAGACATTAACATCAACGATCAACCCAGTTTATACTGACGGGATAGTGTTCTTCCGAACCTTGAAACGGTCCCTTGTAATTCCACCCTTTTTTTCTCACAGAAACAATTCTTTTATAGCTTGAACTGTATACAAATAGTATAAAACTATATAAAATACTGTATAGCTTGAACATGTCTACAGTAGGCCGCAGTTCAATCTTATCTATAAAAAAGTACAGTATAATCAAGAAGTCTCAAGCAGCTAAAGGAGTAGCAAAAGCCACATTTGAAATATAAAAAACATTGAAGAGCTCATAATGAAATCTGAAATTGATCTGACGACAGAAGAAGGCGAAGAACTCTTGAATGAAGAACACCAAGTAACTCGGCGAAATATGATTTTTTCTGAAAAATAGGATTAATGCCAATATCTACTATTAAAGATCTTTTGAAAAAGTGAAAGGATGTCAGAACAACGATCTTAGAATGGCATCCAAACCAGGTTGAAATTAATAGGCTTACTTCTGAAAAATTCTAAAGAAGAGAGAAAATCAATCGACGTTAGACAGATTCTTTAACTTCCAAAAACGGAATAACCTAATAAAAATGAAAAGACTGTGTACAGGGCGTCCCAGAAATTTGTAAATAGTTTAAAAATTTATAAAAGTCGAAAGAATTGATATAATTGAGTGCGGTTTGCGTAAAAGTTATTTTCATAACGGTGATTTTTTGGATAGAGAAAAAGAAAACAGTTCAAATTTTTGTCGATAAAAAGCGCTAAACGCAAGAAAATTACTGGAATTCCATGAGAAAGTTACGTTTATTTGTATGCAGGCAAATGTTTCCACTTACACGCATATCACAGCAAAAGACCAATTGTTCTATGTATTTGCCATCACTATAAATGACAGTTTGCAAGCGAGTGACAACACCATTAACTGCAGCATGCAGCAGATCCGGATGGATGCAGGAGATTTCGTGGCGAATGGCGTCTTTTATCTGCACTAAAAATAATGGGCTATTGCAGTACACGCGGGATTTAATTAATGTAACCCCATAGCCAAAAGTAAAGGAGTGTTAAATCCGGTGAGCGAGGGGACCATTCATCTGTACAGTAACGGCTGATTAATCGTTCTTCAATAAAGGTTTTTCTCCAGAACATCTTTACGTCGATTACAATGTGAGGAGGTACCCTGTCTTGCATGAATGTCACAGTGTCAAGGACATAATGTTCTAAAAAGAACGGTATCACTTTCTCTCATAGCATCTGCAAGTAACACGTTCCAGTAATTGAGCACGTTTCCCAGTCTGATTTTTTACAGGGCTCTTCAAAGAAAAAAGGGCCGCACTAATGTATTCAGTAAAATCACACCAAATAGTAACACGTGATGAATGTAGAGGCTCCTCAGTGTAAGCATGTGGGTTCTCCTTTGGCCATATTTTACAGTTATGGTATTGACTGTTCCATGCAATAAAAAATGAGCCTCATCTGTCCACGAGATATTAAGCAGCCATTGTAGATCTTCGTCGATATTCGAGAAGTCCCAATTTGCAAAGTCCACTCGTTTAGCGGTGTCATTTGGTAAGACCTAGCAACCACTATGTGTACAATTGTAACACACCATGAAGGATGTGCAATATCGACATTTTTTCGGTATTCCAGTTATTAGTGCCAGTTCGTGCGCTACTTAGGGCACTCGTTGACTGTTCCCTCAGAGTCTCCATTTGCGATGCCACATCGGAGGTCCGAACCTCTGATAAACGTGGTGCACCACTGCATGGGCGATTACACAAACTTCCCGTTTCTTCGAAACGTCGTACAAGGAAAAGCAATCCGGCAGGAGTAATTGGACCTGAACCTTTCTTCACTTTCTTCTGTGTCCTAAATAGTGTAACGACTCGTCCGGTTTTCTCCTGTAAAAAAGTGAAATTTAATTAAATGCAAAACGATCAAAAATAAAAATTTATGTACTTTCAAATGTCGCGATGTTTGCCATATTTGAGTAAGCAGTAAGAATTATTAAAGTTGTATATTCTTTTCTCAAGAAACTTTTACGTGTTTTTGTACACATAATTTTAATATTAAGCTAAAAGAGATTATTGGTAGTTTTTCTATTCATTAAATCGTTTTAATATCGATAAAACAAAATTACATTATTTGATTCATCTTATTATAATTTGCTTACTTTCATAACACGCTTTATTACAACACAACAAAAACCGGAAAATTTCATATTTATAAAATTTATGAACTATATTTTGGAAATTAAAAAAAAATTGTTTTAACAGTGACATACTCACCAATATCTATAAAACTTGCAAAATTAACTTCAGAACTTAATCGCCAGTTAAAAAAAGAAGTTTATTGAAATTTGTCAAACATTTCTATCCTCAATAATGCCCAGAAAGTATTTGAGATGTACAAAAATTTTACTTATACAATATTAGAAATATATTTGCATTTAAGCATGCGAATTTTAAGGAAATTAAAAATTTATAGAAAATTTTAATTATGACAAAAATATTTTTTTACAGGAATCTCAAGAAAGACAGAACGAAGTACAAGCCGCCAACGCACTGCTATTATTAAGAGAAGGAGGATTGAGAAGAACATTGGAAATGTTTGAGGCTGACAAACTGCCCTTTCATTCAGATAAACATTCCTCTGAACAATAATTGATAAATAAATGGAGAAAAGACAAACTAATAAGATGATTCATTGAAAAATTTTAAACTACATTTACTTTTGAGCAAATTATCGAAATAATTTATATCACTTGTGCTTAAGATAAATGTTTAAATTATTGAAAACGTTCGATTAAATTTTTAATCAATAAACAGCATTTATTTAATTAATTATCAATTTACTATTTAATGCAAATTTATTGGAGTTATAATATATATTAGAAGTATACAATAATTTCTCACGTAATATATCAAATGAATATCGACAGTTTTAGGAAAGAAAGTCCTCACAGGTGTCAGCCGTTTGAACAGATTGCAAATGAATTTATTTCAATTCCCTTTGTATATAAATATTCAAGAGTTTCATCGGTGTCTTTCGAAATAAAATTAATTTCGTTAAATTATCTTTTCCACTTTCTGTATATTTTTTTACAAGATGAAAGCTCGAAGGAAGCTTTTCGATATTGATGTGTTATTAATTAATGAAAGATGAAAGTCGACTGCACTGTTTTTCTTATTGAGCGAAGTTTTGTATTGTAGAATTCCTATTTTATTTTAATAAAAAATTAAAATAAATTAAAACAAATTAAATAGAAAATTCTACTTTCGTTTAATTAGTAATAGAAAATGTAAAAGAAGTTGACAATTTTAACGAATTATTTTGTGGTTTCTAAATAAATATATTTGTGGTATATTAAAGGCCTGCGTATTTATTTTACAGAGGCGCTATTCAGATAGTAATTAGGGATGCTTTAGACAAAGAATTTTTTGAACACAAGTTATAAAACTTATTGATAGAATTGTTAATCGCTATTTTCTGGAAAAGTTTAAAGTTTATTTTTGCGCTTTCATATAGTAAATATCGACAAAAGCACTTCGTTTGTTCTTACAATTCGAGACAACTATTACGTAAAAGAGCACACTTCTATATCCAAAATAGTTATTAATATCACTTCTTTTTCAAAATCCCACATAACAACGTTTGATAAACATTCAGTAAATATAATAAAAAAAAATTAGTATGTCTATGTAGACGTATAAAAGATTGTGGCAATTTTAATAAAACACGTATCATGTTGTTTCTTGATTAAGCACTGTTTTCCAATCCCCCAATGATATTTTCACTTACTTTTAATTGATGAATTGAGATTAATTTTCTAGTTGTTCAACTACTTTTTCCAGAGATATTCATTGCAAAAGCTTTTTCAATTAATATCTTTTTGTATTGCTTTCAGCAAAAATGTGAAATTCTTTCTAATGAATATATTTATCGTGTTTTTATCCAGAACCGGCAAGTGCTAAAGAAGTGCAAAAAACAATTTTTAGCAGCTTTTGAGGGTCCCAAATATGGAAAGTAATCAAAATCTTCATTTACAATAAGAATGTGAGTTAATAGACTAAACAGGTGTATTCGACATTATATAATAAAATTGTATGCATATAAGCTTCCAAGTATAAAGAAAATTTGTATCACCTCTAAACAGTAGTCACAATATCACTTGCTTTAGTGACTAGGAAATAATTTATTGTGTTGCAAATTGAAATAAATACTCACTATCATTTGTCTGTCCATCCGTTTGTCGTTCCTTAGTATCGACAACTAATCGATTCAACTCATCCAATATCGAGCGTTAAATCGATAGGGGCAGGAGACCATGTTATTTCAATTCAAACATTTTTCCCTTGCAAGGTATTAGATAGATGACTGGCACGACTCTTTTGTTAAAGGAAAAGTATGATGTACGGGGTTGGCCACTACTAATTTTAGGTGTAGTTAAATAGATTAAAAAATTGCAACCCGGCATTATGTCGAAGTCACAATAAATAATTCCGACGAAGTGGTGTTAGACAAGGCGCAGAATAGTTAAGAAATTGCTGGTGTAAAGAATTGTTCAATTACTCATTGTAAGGTATAACAAGTAGACTAATATTAATTTCGAAATTAACCCGAATTTGTATATATATTTCAAAAAGAAAACATGTTGAAAAATTTCAAGTCACGAATATACTGTATATATAGTGTTGAAAAATATAAGATTTTTATAAATGATCGCCTCGCACCTTAATTTAGAAAGTATTTTATAAAAGCAGTTTTAAATAAAGAAGAAGAAACATCAAGTATATAGACTATTAACGGAAACATTTATATTAGAAAATGTTCGTTTTCACCAGCAATACGAGCAAGAACATTTACGCTGTTGACCATTTTAGACATTTTTGGAAACCTGCTAAAATATAAAAATAGCAGATTACTCTAATAAAGAAATACGCATTCTACCGTAATGTTCGATGTCTGAATAACAAACTTATCAATTAAAATTCATTAAACTATTGTAAAGTATAACTTAACAGTACATCTTATTTTCTTGGCATTGTGTGAAACCTGAACGAATGTTTATAATCCTTTTTTTCAAGTAACTAACTACAATATTGAGAAAGTCGAAAGAAAATTCAATCAACATGGTGGTATTGTTTTATATATTAGCTAGCAGACGAACCCGGCGTTGTTCAGGCAAAAAAATAGCAACAAAAATTAAGATTATTAGATTATTTTGTACTTCTAATTTTTCTATCATATTATAGTATTCGATTTATATTTAGAAAAGTTACCTTACATAAGAGTTTATCATACCGAGTTTATCATAATGTAACACATTTTAAAAATTGTGTACAGTAGAGGAATAAAGAATTTTAAGATGTATTCGATTGATTGTTCGATGTGATATCCTTTATAAATACAAAGCAAATATTCTAATATAACCAATATGAAAACGAAGACCGTATAAAGAATTTGTTTTCTAGCCTACCATTGTCACTTTTATCTTGTTGCTCGGATTGTACAAAATGGCATAGTTTTGTTGGTCAAGTAGAAACCAATTGTGAGATTCATAGGCTGAGGCAGTGAACCTCACTCTCTAGACATCGTGTGAAATTGGGGCTGTGTAACTCCGCTCTCTATCAGGATGGATAAAAATGTGTATAAAAATTAACGTTAGAGTCTCTCTTAATGTCAGGATTCTGACACCAGTTAGGAATTTCAAATACGCGTCTTAACTCGCGTTGTTTCAGCGTCTATCCGCGTGTTAGAAGGAATGTTAATTCTCTGTACGGCAATGCAAGTAGGACTAGTCCATTTTAAAATATAACACAATTATGTTTATTTATTCAAAGAAAAATAATTATTATAATAAAGTTTGTAATTTTTAATCAGTATTAAAAAATAACATTATATAAGTTTCGAATTTCGATACAAAAGATAATGCGACAACTTATACTATGCTATCTCAAAGTGTACTCATATTCGCGTGGAGGCAGTTTTCATTTCATTATTTCATTTGTTACCTAGAAATATAGTGCGACAATCTTTTCTTTCGTTTGAGAAGACTTGTTGTTTCATTCTTCTTTAATGGGATCGATGCATCAAACGTAAAGCGGAAACAACAAGAAACTCCAGAGGTTGCGGCCGACGTTTTCGACGCAAAAACGTGCACGTCAGGCGTTCAGCACCGCCTTCCTGTAGGCCTAGAAGTTTCACAACGGCGTTTGGAACGTCGAGTATGATTCCACTGACGTTACAAACGCCATTGTCAAACTTCTAGGCTTACAGGAAGGTGGTGCTGAACGTCCGTCGTACAAGTTTTTGCGTTGAAAACGTCGGCCGCAACCTCTCTACTGATTTACATGGTTAAACGGCGCACGGCAAACGACATGAAATTCATGACAAAAAGCATGGATAAAAGATAATGTAAACCTTTTATACCAAATTATTGAAGCAATGATAAGTATCTACGATTCGTTTCTCTCACTCCCAAAACTTTCATTTTAGAAGGAACACGCATCTTCTCCTGTGAATTAGAGGAAGGTAAAGATGATGTACAGTACAGTACATTAGTTAGATAAGCGATAACTCTTTCTAAATACTCATTAGATCGTTACTTCCGATTGAATAAAAGTAGAACGATTTGTAAAAAATTTCTTATAGAAATAACACGATGACGCTATCCTTTTTAAAGTATAAATTTTAATTTTAATGAAGTGAGTATAAAATACGCCATTTCCAAAATGTTCAAAATAGCAGCATAAGGTAATTTTCTTTATTTAGCATGAACGTCACTGCATTGTAAGGTAAATCACTAATCCAAAATCGATATAACGTTTGTTTTATAGCTAAAATTTATACAAAATAAATAGCCAATACTTTCTGTCAGAAAATAAAACGAATATAACAAAAGTTTCATCTGCATTAAACAAAAATCACACACACAGGCATAGAGTGCACGACTGTTATGTTAGTAATTCGTAATTTTATCAAGAATTGAATTTTTCACTTGTTTATTTTACAATTTCACGTTAAATCTGCAGTGGTAATGAAATATACCAGATCAAAATTAGAATACTTTAAAATCAATTGTTTACAATTTTGAANCAATTAAATTAAAATTTTTAAAATAATTAGATTCCACCGAACGACCCGAAGATAATGAGTCGTATTTGTAAAATCTGCAGAAAAGTTTGTCAGTCTCCCGCTGCTTTAAAGACTCACATGAGAACTCACACCGGAGAGCGGCCATTTTGGTGTAATTTTTGCAATGTCACTTTCAATACTAAAGGTAGTTTAAACAGACACATCAGAAGCATCCATCTAAAAGAGGATGCTTCTGATGTGTCTGTTTAAACTCCATATTGCACCGAAGTAAGTGTATAAATATGTTAATTAATGACTAAAAATTCAACACACAATCGACTATTAAAATGAAAAAAATTATGCTCGTTAAATAACTTCACTTATTTAACGAGCACGCATTGTATCAATGTTCATTTATCGCATATATTGTACACGTGTATTTGTTTTATTCGATACTCCGAGAAAAGTTCTGTCATTTCATGTATAAAAAAACGTTTCTGTCATTTCATGTATCCGAAAGGAGACATTAGAATTAATTTTCCAAATAACAACTCATTAAATACAATTTTACTTTAGAAAATCGATATTTTCACGAATAAACTTCATTTTCACTCATTTCGATTGAATCACAATTCATGGAAATCGAATGTCGTTTGCTTTTCTATTGAATAATTATGAAGATATATAATTATATATGTATTTGAGTGTATATAAGTGTAGGGAAATTTACTTTGATGTGTGAAATTCTTTGTTCCGTGCATTTACAAAAATATCTATCGAATAATTAAGAAACAATGACTTTTTTGTTTTCATAGAAATTAACAACTGCTGTACCTTACTCGTAATTATATATATATATATATATATATATATTTTTTTTTTAATTTTAAGCCGTTGTTTTCTGAATTTCCTTTGATAACATTACTTTACTGAAAAGCATTTATATTTGTTTACCGATTATTATTAGGGTTATTAATTGCTTAAACTTGTTAAAAATGAAAATTCACACTTTTGTTAAAAAATGTAGAAATGTTTTACTTTAATGAAGTTTAAAATTTCTTAACATTTATAGCATTACAAATATATAATTCAGTATATAATTATCTATTACATATTTTTATTCAATTCACATTTTAGTAAATGTCGTACAGTAATGCTATATATGTTATTTACTTTCAGGAAAGTACACAAGACGTTCAACGAGAGCAAAAAGTATCGTTTGAACAACCATCAACAAGTTTTCAAAGACCACAGTCAATAGAATTTGAAAACATTTCATCAGACAAGAATCTTTTTACTTCAAAAGAAAGTGAACAATTACTTGAAAACGTTGACGTCAATTTAGAAACTATTCAATTGGAATTATCGTCGCCACTGGAATTCTTTCCAGAAATACACGTTGAAGAAACATATCTGGAATGTCCTTTCTGTCGTAAACGATTTTTGGACGAAGTTTCCCTAAAAGAACACGAAAGAAACTTTCATTCGTTTGATTAATTAATTCTCGACAACTAATTTTTCAAATATATTAAATTAATAATATATTAGATTATTTACGTCTTGATATTTAATAACGAAAGCAAAATTGAATACAGTATTCAGTTACAGTTCGTGATATATGTGAAATCGTCGTAGACAGTATACATTTTAATTTAATTTATAGCGAAAATTATATGATAGAAAATTTATAATATTTGAAAAAAACAAAACTTATTAAGTTATTTTTTCAATTTATTGCTTCAGAAAACCAAAAGATCAAACATCGACGTTACACTTAATTAATGTTTTACATTTGTAAAGTCGATAAGCTTTAATTGAATAAATTTCGATTCAATTTAAAAAATTGCACCTTTCTGTCTCTTTTATATCTAAACTATTTCAAGTTAATTATTTACTTTACTTTATTTATCATGTAAGCCATTAGGTTTTTTCCAGTGTAAAATGAAAATACAAACAGACCATAACAGACATACAGAAAAAACAATTAACATACAAAATTAAACATAATTCAAGCTTTTGATAAAGTCTTAAGTTGCTTGTAGATATTCAATTTTTTTGATTCTTTACTAAAGCGTTTCAATTATATGTTATTTAGTAGATTGGCGTTGTTCCGAGGAAAAATGTTTGTATGTGTTAGTAGGAAACTTTTCTCAGTTGATAATCAACTGACTGTTCAGATAACAAATCAAAAGTGTAGTAATAATTCCATGAAAAACACGAGTAGAAAGCACACCATAGACATTTTATAGAGTATTTGTTGATTCTGCTTTTTTCTTTATTATGTTTGTGTTTACAACTGCAAAACGCATTTTTCAGTGATTTCCCAAGAAAAACACTGAAAAATGCGTTTTGTATTTGTACATTTATAAATAACCATAATATAATTATAAGTGATTTTAAAAAATGTAGTTTTATTTGCAGTGTATCTTTGAGGATAGACGATGGTCGAAGGGGTAAACTGGTGGCGGAGGAGAGGGAGAAGGGAAATAATACTAAAACTTAACTTACATAACATAATGTAATAATAACTTAAAATTAACTTAACACTAATTTTTTAATCTTCTTTGTTTTATATATTTTTATAAAGTTTTTTATTCACAGTTTTTGTTCTCTTTCCTTCACTTCCACCAGCACTTTCACTGGAGAGAAGTCTCTTGGTAAAATATCTATCCAAAAAGGTTTGGCTTTGCCTACTTTTTAAAATATTTCTAAAATGATTTAGGCAAACGTCATTACTCCGAGCAGCAATACAGTGTGAACCTTTTCTGGATGTTTCTTTTCAATAAAATCAGTCACTTTCTGATAATACTTCAAGATTTCCTTTATCGAGTAAGATCTTTCCATGATGAAGAAAAAAGAGGTTATCCGGAAGAAAGGCTTCTGTTGTACTATTTTAAATGCAATTGTTTGTTTTCAGCAACGTTTAGTCTTCATTGAGTATTTAAATGTACAGTCGACCCCCCTATAAGATAGAGATACGTTCCATTCTCTAGGAATCCGCTTTCTTACGAATCCTTCCAATCACAACCCGACACGTGTCAAGTTTACGGACTACGGCTGTTTGAAAGATTTTCTTCCATAAAATTAATCGATTCTAGACTAATCCGACTCAACATTTCCAAAATACGTATATATTTTTTGGGAATAATCCGTATAAACTACGCTATAAACAAAAAATTGTAGGATTACTTACCGAGTGTCACCATTCGACATTGCCATTGCTCAACATTGTTTTCGTCGCGGAACAGCTCAGCAAAGAGCGGCCGATTTCTAACAACTTATTTTTCTGTGAAAACTTCGTAGAACTTCGGAGACATCATTAATATAAATAATTTTAATCGCCGTTGAATAAGAAATGTTTCTTTCACAAGAAATGTATAAAATTACAGTACTGTATTAGACTTACGGTACCTAATTTACATACTGACAGACGATAGTTAGCGTAAAAATCTCCGTAGCGTGGCGCCACGCTAGACGGCGGAAATTATATATTTAATTATAACAAAGTTACAATAAGTTAATATATAATTATATATACAGTACCTAATTTATATATAATTAATATATAATTATATGTACAGTACCTAATTTATATATAATTTATATAATACTGTCCAGACGATAGAAATCTCTCCGTAGCGTGGCGCTACGGACGGCGGGAAAGTAGTTCGGCTTCCCGATGACGTTTGAGGTGTTTATAGGGAACTTTTACTATTTTTTACGGATACCGGTAGCAATTTTTTCGTAGTTTTATAGGAATCGTAGCTATAGGGACCGTAATTATAGGGGGTCGACTGTATTAAATTAATAACACCGTTGTGAATTCGAATTTGTTATTTCAGATTGGTTCGATTATAGAACGATTGTAAACGTTTCGGAAAATTGATCAAATTGAAAATAGTTCGTTTGATTCTCTGCAATTGTTATCATTGTCAGCAGTAGGTGTTATATAACAATCACTATGGTTGTTGAAATACTGAATATACATGGGTTTGCTTGCGAAACAACCGCAGACGAAGTCGCGGGTAACAGCTAGTAGTTAATAAGAATCTATTTTAATTAAGTTTACAAAGGAATAAATTTTAGTTTTTAATTTAGTACAGGATAATAAGTAATCTAAATTTACAAATGCATACACGGTACGTACTGTACATACTTGTAAATATACATGTCTACAATTTGGCGATGTTTACAGTACATCGCGGACTCTTTATTTGGGAATGTCGTTTGGTCTAACACTTTATAAAATAAGATGATTTTATAAGGTTAAATAACACGTAGTTATTAAAATTATTTTGCGATAATAAAATAAACTAATTTATATTTAGCGATATCGAGTGGCGCTGACAACAACGCCAAACAGTAGATATTGGAAATACAGTGGAAAATGCCAATATTGAGCTATTAAAGACCGCTAAATGAGACGACAACACAGAGTCACAGACGTTTTCATATTTCTTTCTTTACGATTTATGATGATTATATTAATTTTTACTCTAAATGTATGTATTTTAATATGATTTCATGTGCTTTTAACACTTTCTGGTGATATTACGACTTCAATAATTGTGGCCGACAGACGTAAAGTCGAATAAAATGACATGACTTTTCCATGTATTTTTTTTTCTTTTTTTGTTTTTCTGGTGTGGCTATTGTTCATAATGTTCGGTAACTTTGATTAATTAATTATGTAAGATTTATCATATTTATCTACATGGACTGACAAGTATATATAACAAACGGGATTATTCGATTTACAGTCATTTAATAATGTTTCTGTCATCTACAATATTGTTTGAGAAGCAGAAATTATTTTGTTATAAGTCGGTAAACTACATGAATTTTTTGCAATGAATAGTCTGATTAATGTTTATTTAAGAAACACTTGCGATTATGCTACTATCGCAGCTAAGTATAACACTTGATTCGAAGTGTATCAACAAGTCACCAATTGCAAAGTACAGGTAGGCCTCCTACAATGCGGTAGCTTTACAACGCGTTTTCGCTCCAACGCGGTTGGGAAAATGCGGAAATTTTCTTACAACACGGTACTTTTACAACGCGGTTTACGGTATTTACAAACGAATTATCTTCACATAACAGAAAAATCGCAACGGATCACGTGTACGAGCCGCAATTTCTTATAACTACAAATCCTAACCGTTACCTCAATTATACTAGTAACCTTTTTCTCAACTGAAGACTTTGTTTATCCTCTTTTTACAAATCGAATACTGCAATCGCCTTGGACTATTTCCTATTGGAACCTCGTTCACTGCTACTAGCACACCAACTCTTATTCTTTGCAGGAGCTCACCTCTGCTGTCTTCACTTGAGGTAGGCTTTTTATACTCTGAGGTGACGTCACTGTTTCTAAATGAGACACTCTCCTCATTTACATACTTACACGAAACATTATCTTTTTTCTTGCTAATCTGGTAGCTTAATTCCCGCTATACTTTGTTAACCTTTTACAGTATTTTGTTGAACAATTATCGGGATGTTTCCTTTAAGGTTTAACAAGTTTCTAAACGTCTGTGGGGACTTTTTCCACTTTCAGTGCGGGCTTACTATCTGCCGCACGGGCGTGCACGTGAGTGCGAGTGCTAGCTATGGCGCTTTCTTTTTTCGTCGGTGAGTTGGTTTTATCTTCTCTTTTTACCTTTCTAAGGTGACGGGTAAAAAAAACCTTCGTCCTAATTAAACATAAATTCCAAACAAAAATATAATAAAAGCAAAATAAAAGTAAATAAAAATAACGCTCGGACTTGGTTCCTTACACAATAAACACCACCTACGTTACATGAACTTCATCTGTCATTTAAGAATTAATTAAGAACTATGTTAAATTTAGAGAGAAACCCATATTAACAATTCTATTTAATTAAAACGTGAATTCTAAAAATACAATTTATTTTTAAAGAAGAAATGAAATAAGAACCGTTGAAGTGTAGGAATGTCTTCAATATGATATTGCTTATGTTTTAGAAATTTCTCATTCGAGCGAGTGCTGAAAGAAGATAAATGACAACGAAATAGTATTACCGACGATTCAAAATTATCGACTTTGTCGTCTGCTTTACATTGTTCATCATCTTTGTTGTTAATATTTGTATTTATTGGTGCAGACGATATTTCGGAAATAAATTATTGTTTTTCAATCTCCAATAAGAACACTGTCTCGAATATATAAAACATATGTACCCGTATGTTTTATGTATATAAATATACATGTATTTCCTGGATTTAACATGTGTTGTGTAACGTTGCACTACAGGCACCATTTGGACAGTTATTCCGCGAATCTACTTGTTTATGATGTGGAGATAATACGATATATAAATAATAATCTCGGAGCAAAGCGCAGACTTCAATTAATTTGTTAATTTAACTTTTACACATAAATAAAAAGTATTAATAGGCAGGAGTAGATTTTAACACAAAAATACAAAATTTTTTTGATTAGGCGTAATCTGCAATGATTTTAATTAAAAATACTTACATCCGAGAAGAGTTATCTGTTGCAATTTCACAAATATTTTACTAAAACAAATCAATTTTAACTTGTAATAAATTGTATCATTGTGTATTAGGTTGTATTATCTATTGAATGTAGATTATCGAATACAATATAGAAAAACTATGCTAATAATTTTTGAAACGTAATTATTATTGATATAAGCTCAATCAGAAAGCTTTAAAATATTTTGAAGAATTTACAAAACAAGGATAAATTTTTTGTATCATTTTATATTTTGTTTATAAGTTTCATATACAATCTGTATATATTTTTGTGAAACAAATTAAAATTTTTAAATCGTCATTTTCCAATATCTAATTCCAAACATTATTTCTGTAACAAAACATGTTGCAATGCAGTTTACTCTATATTGTAGAATTGTAGACTCTAAAAATATGGCATCGTATTACCTATAAATCAGATTAGATTTACGATTTCATTGTGTTCAAGTTGTATTTTATTCATTTTTACGTTCGAATCACCTTTATTACAGTTTCATAAAAGATAAATGAATGTATTCTATTTTATTTTATATTTGCTGTTAACAATGTGTACGACGAACCCTGAAATTTAAGTTTTATTATTTTTAGAATTTCGTACATTAAAACGTAATAATAAGTTTAATTTACATATTAACATTCAAAAGTGATAAATGAAACATTCACAACATAATTTTTCATTAAAATTATTATTTTAATAACTATATCAGTGTATTTCTTTTAATAGGACTTATCATACTGGTGTATAAGATTACAGCCTCACAGTTAGACAGATTAAAATTGTTTTATTTTCAATTACCTGGACACATACAATTTGCGTTTCGGACTTGTACGTTCCTCTTCAGCAGGTATTTGACAAACCAATTCTAAATAAAATTTAAACAAACATAATTTACCGACAATATTTTTCCACAAAAAATTTCTTATGCCTACAATAATAAATTATAAAATTCCTACTATTTTAATGTTCTTTCTTTCTATTCCGTCTATCCTCCAATAATTCATTCCAATTACAATCACAATCAATATTACTTTTAAAACACTCCTGTATTAAAACCAATAATTGTTACATTAAACACTGACATTTTTCGTTAAACGTTGACATTTTTCAATAAACTTTACTATTTTATATATTTGTACATTTAAAACTACTTCCAACTTTCATTTCTTTTTGTCTTTCTTCCCTTTCACTTTGTCTTTGCCAGTCTCTTTCATTCACTATATACGTCACTTCCCTGTTTGTGGCTATCATTCCTCTCCATGATTGGTGTATTTCTCTTCCGTTGTTGTTATTCATTCTATTGTTTTGTTTGATTATATTAATGTGTTCATATAATTGTCGTTTGTAATTATTTTCTTCTTTTTTTTCTTATTTTAACTGATTTTAATATAATTTCACAATTTGTTGAGTTGCAATGTTTCGCTACCGCAGAATTCGCATAATTTCCACGTATTGCTCTGATATGTTCTTTTAAACTTATCTTTAAGTTTCTTTTTGTCTCTCCAATATATGTTTTTTCTGGATTACAATTGCAATTAAACGAATAGACTACACCTTTTTTTTCCATTATATCATTTTCCCCACGTTTTTATAACATAGATGTTTCTTCGTTATATTGACTTTTTCTGGTATTATATTAATTTTCATATCTAATAATTTTTTGACTCTTTCAAATACTTTTGGGATATATCTTATTTTCACAAATTTTTTTCTCTTTATCTATTAATTTTTTTGATTGCTTATTGTTTTCTATATTTTTAACACATTTATTTAACAATGTTTTTGGATAATCATTTAAGATAAACATTTTGATAATATCATTTACTTCTTTTTCCTGTGTTTCTATTTCAGTTGTTCGTTGTCTTATTTTATTGATATACATTTTAAATATATTATATTTCATATTAATCGGTATAATTGATTTATAATTAATTGTTTTTGGAATCTGCATAGGTTTTACATATTTTTTATAAATCAATTTATCTTCTGTTCTTATAATTGTTATGTCTAAATAATTAATACTGTTTTGGTTTTCTTTTTCTAATTCAAATTTGATATTTTCTTTTATTTCATTAGCTTTATTTATAATTGTTTTTTCATCTGTTTTTCTTTTATCAAATATTATAATACAATCATCAACATACCTGCTATAAAATTCTATTCCTTCTATATTTCTGATTTGTTCATCTATTTGTATCATTGCTATTTCTGCCAGTTTTGGACCTATGCAAGTACCCATAGGTATTCCATCCTTCTGGGTGTAGAAATTGTTTCCAAACTAAAAGTAATTGTTTTGGAAAATAATTTTCCATTTTTCCAAATTTGCAAACGTAATTTAAACTGACGTAGACTATAAATACCAGTTATTTTACATTAGAATTCGAAAATCTTATATACAAAATTTAAACGATTTACTTCAAAAATTTTGTTTAAGAGCAATTTTTGTGTACTTGTAAAATTAATATTGTATTTTGACAGTAAAAAGTGTTCTTAAACAGTTTTAATAACAGTTAAAGTGCGCTTAAGTCGTTACAGAAAACGTGTATAAACGTGCTTTAAAACCATTTTTATTTGCAGTGTATAGTTTGCACAAGAGATATTTTTTGATGCGAATTGACAACTTTTCTGTGAAATTAATCTCCGAAATACTTTTAATTACACAGACATATCTATGTACATAAAAAATGTAAACCATATAATTTATTTCTCTTAACATACGCACTAATTCAGTCTTCTATTTCATTTATTTTTCGTTTTTTGCAGAGTGTCTAGAGCTAGCCGCCAATGTCGTCATTATTAGAATAAAATCCACGTGTTTACTTTGTCATCACAAAACAGCATCTTTTTATTGGGAAATTTTACGCGGGTAAAAAGTAGGAACAATGCGTGACTCTTTTTTCAGTTATTGTTCAGCCAAAATTTTAGAAAAATTTTTACGCTTTCTGTTTTATGCAAGATTTTATGGCGATTTCTACGCATGTGTGTTCACGGCCTAAAAATAATAATATAGAAACTTCTCGTACATTTACATTGGATACAAGTTTTTTCTGATGTCTTGCAAACGTGTATTGTTTTAACTGATCTTTCTGTTCATGACTATATTCACAGCCATTATAGTTGTAATTGTATGGCTTGTCATCCGAATAAACTACACGTAAAAACTACACGTTTATGGTCTCACTGTCATAAATAAATGAATAAAAATAATAATTTACAACAATAAAAGTAAAAATATAATTTTGAATATACTCCTTATTTCGGCAGTCCAAATACCCAAAAACTGTAGGCATTCCCATTCGTGTCAACGCACACACTCCTATTGAGTATTACCAAATCCTTGAGTATTACCTTGTTACTGCTTATTGTGCAGATTAAGTAAAATAATAATAATTCAAAAATAAGTTAAACAAGAAACAGAAATAGCGATACTCTACTTGTTCCCTCACATTCGTTTCTTCAATACAGAAGATGTATGTATCGTTTTGTGTTTTCAATTATTTTTAAGTTCGAGGACATGCGCAATTAAACATGCTTAATATAATCAAAACATAACAATCAAGAAATTACATTATTTCGGTGCATTGTTGTATTCTCTTTTAACAATTTCGTCTTGAAATTAATAAACTGAATTTGATAACTGAATCAAAATAAATAAATTCATAATGGTAAGTGTAAACATTCATATAATTTGTATAATACATTTTGAATTTCTTAAACTTTTTTATTAGAAATTCACGGAATAACACAAACTGACAATTTGAATTTTGTATCGATGATAGAGTACATATTAACGTAATCTTACAATATTACCACATAATAATACAATATTAACATAATAATATAATATGTAACAATAATTTATATTATCGAGAATAATTTTTATTTAAGTTTTTTACTAATTATTTATATTTTTTCAACGCATTGTTTTAAAACGACAGAAAACATCCATGCCCGACATGTGGGAAGACATTTCTTCGTGAAAGTCATTTGCAAGTACACATGCGAATTCACACGAATGAAAGGCCGTATGAATGCAATTTGTGCGAAAAAAGCTTTACGCAGAAGGGTCATTTAACAAGGCACATGAAAGTGCACTCGGATGAAAAGCCGTTCAAGTGAAATTACAATGGCTGTGAAGAAAGCTTTACACGGAAAGAATACTTTCAAGAAGACATGTACGCATTGCATTCTGATGAAATTTTATCTAAAGTAAATATTACGACAAGTTCCTATATTTTCATTTTCGTTTTTATTTCTCAATTATCGAAACGATATAAGTTATAAAATAAGCAGATACAATACAATTGTACAGGATAATATAAAACCGTCATTTAATATTTCAAACAATACTGGAGCAACTGTGTTTATTTACACGAACAAATATTAAAATAATAATGTCAATAAGCATCTGTAAATATCATTATTGTTATTTTGGCGCTGGAAAATTTAGTTGTTTTATATTAGTTTTCACCTTCGATAAAAAAACTGTAAATTAATTACGTTTCTTTGTATTTTTGTGCAAACCCGTTTTCTGTATTTTACCTTTGTTAATTAATCACACATAAACATTTATAAAATGGCATAGACTTTACCATAATAAATTTATCAGTGTAATTAATAACCTATGACCAATGTGAATAATTTAAAATTTTAATTACAACAATGTTAAATTATTAAGCGAATCATTCTTCACAATTATTACTCTTACCCACTGATAAAAACAAGATACATCTTCGTATTTTTATTTTCTAATTTAGTATTTGCATTGTATAATGAAAAACACCAGAAAAGCTTATTTTATTGTTCACTGTATTATTAATTCTCCGTTAAAATTATAAAATGTTGTTAATTTTAAAGATTAAATTTACATTACAGTCGAAAAAATTTTTTAAAACAATTGTTCGTAATGTGCGTAATTGCTAGTGTCAATTAGAACACCTAAGAAAATTACTCTGCAGCACCTCGTTAGCTCTATTTATATAAAATAATTTTCTATACACATAATTTAATAAAACTTGAACAAAATGTTTTACAAATAACTTTAACATTATCACAATGAATTACATGGAAATTCAAAAATAATAGAATCTCTACTCTAAACATTAGATTAAAACCTCATAAAGAAAAAGAAAAATTTAGACCCATCGTTGATTTCAAATACTCCATTCTTTATAATTTAGAATATTACATAAAACAACAGTTAAAATGTTTTGAAAACTCTGTATACAGCATAAAAAATGCTGATACTGTCATTAATAGAATACAAAAATTGAAAAAAGAAAATTCTGATAAACTAATGAGTTTAGACATAAAAAATATGTATCCCAGTATAAAATGGAAATTAATAGAAAATAGCTTAAGTAAACTTAATATACATAATAATTTGATTGACTTAATACAATTTGCATACTATAACAATTATTTCAAAGTTAATGATGTATTTTATAGACAGCTAGATGGTATTAGCATGGGGTCAAAGATGGGACCAAAATTAGCTGAATTAGTTATGATCGATATTGATAAAAAAATAAGTGAAATACATGGCATAAAATTAATAATGAGATATGTGGATGACTATTTGATCATATATAATAGTAATTTAACTAATAAAGAAACTATCCATAACTTTATAAATAATATAAATAAGGACATTCAGTTTGATATTGAAGAAGAAGTAAATAAAAAAATTAATTA